TTCTGATCATTCATAGGTGGTAGCCTGGTTTCTTGTATGAGAATGACCCGAGTGTCGTTGAAAAATCACATTACAAGAAGATCCTTGGGCTCATGTAATTTCGGCAAGGTAGCACGGAAATTGTTGGCTGAAAAATGCAGGTTATTCGGCTTAGCCGATAGCTGAGCCAACTACATCGCAACGGGTCCTATTATTTTACACAACATGCAGAAAGTGTTAGAGTTTGCTGCAACGTAACCGTTGCTGTAAATGCTTTGGTTGCGGCGATCATTCAGTTTTGTGCAGAGTAAAACCGTAATCAGAATTCTGAATGAAAACTGGGAGGCGAAGTATAGTACGCACTTAGTTGGTGTTTATTTTCTGGCAAATTTCGGCAGACGAATTGTCAAGTATTACGGTTAGACTTAACGTTCGGATTGAATGATTAATTTTGCGAAAAGAAGAATAATAGTAGTCTATGTGAAAGATTTCACTTATTTTAATTAAGTTGTATTACTTACCTTATTTATTGCGGCCTAAATTCTGAATAATTATTTTTAGTGCTGCCCTACGTCGAAAAGAAGCGTCTCTTCGTTTAAAGATATGTTAAGCCAGATTTACCACTACATGACTTGCACGATAAATGAGGTTTGGGCAAACAATAAGTTTTTAAAATTTATAAATTAGTTGACCAGTCTCGCCTGTAAAGAAAATTACGTTATGCCGCATATTTTGCTTCAGTGCCTAAAAAATGTATCAACAAGGCCAAGTCGAAGGTGACATAAAACGGAATAAGGTCTCAGGGCAGTTCCTGTCACTAAATTAAATCTGTGCCAGAGAACAACATAGTTTGAGCAAGACCAATTACTTTCATTCGCAATTAAAGACTCAAGACAAATTTCCTGGTACGCTGTACAAACGTTTCCTTATATTTGAGTAGAGTTTATGATTTCACTTAATAAAATTGGTTTCTCCGAGGTCATAGAGATCTGGCTTGTGATGAGTAAATGCACTGGGATGCTCGTTCATGTCATATAATCATTCTCGCTTCCTTTCAACTCTTCAGATTCTTTTGATTATCAAAACTAGCGATTTCCATGTTTCGCATTGTGGTCCAAAAGAAATATTTTGGACAGCTTTCCGCTGCAGTCAGTGAGATGCCGGTACTCAAAGATGTCTTGCTATATGATTCTGCCGGATCTTATTTTAATGCAGTTAATCGAAAACCATGCCTTGTCTATAAATTCCGAGGTAGTTACAACAGTAGGATGACGGACGGCAGAAGTTTTCTACATTCTGCTTGGTAGCCAAAACAGTAGAAGATGCCGACTTATTTAATGCATAGAGCTGAGTGAACCAGATGATGCCAAAAATTTTTCACAACCGCATTTGATTTACCCATAGTTGTTTTGTCAACTTTTTCCTGACATAAAGTATAACTCAATTCGTATATTACCCAGATACAAGTGAGCATAATCTTGAAAATGTGTCAGCTAATTTGGGAATGTTTCATCTAGAAAAATAGATGCACGTTAAAGCGTGACTAATGCTTACTCAATAGTAAAATCGAAACTAGACATATCATCCGTTGAGGAGCATGTAGAAGTCGACAACCGCTTCTATTCTTTGTCGAACACAAAATCTTGACATTCATTTGAAGAGCAACTCAACTGTACTGAAAGACCGTCTCAGGGATAAGGACAGCTCTTCAGTTGTACTGTGAACCATACATTTGAAAGTATGCATTGTGTTTCCATACCCATGTGATCTTAGACTTTGTCGTTTTCTCGCCTCAGCATTGCGATCAATGAGGTTGAATTGGTAAAAAGGAATAAGTTATTTTAAATTTAAATTCCTAGAGGCTTACACTTCAAATAAGCTTCAAAACTTAGCAAGTAACTTAAAGTTACAATAAACGGCTAGAAGATGCTAGACTGCATCACAGACCGCGACTGAAATACACCCACGTTCGGTGTGTAAGAAGTTTAATAATTATTTTTCAAAATTTAAAATTTTTTTGACTTTCAATGTTTAAGGTATAAAACCTCTTTGATACACCTTACTGTCTTTTGCATCCATCTATTGATGCTTATTTTAATATAATGCTGTAGCTGCATATGATATTAATTACATGAAACGTTTGTGGAAATCTTATAATGTGGCGATAGCGTCACGGATGGTACTTTGTTGGCCTACCATTTCAAGAATTAGAACAGATCTTCACTTTTGCTACCGCATCTAAAGAGTATACGGTCAGTAGGCCAAACCATGCTTTCCTTGTGTTATCCAGAACTTTCCCGTTATTCTTATCACCGTTGCGATCATTGAGGTTGAGCTGGGAAGGAGGAACAGTTTGTTTAAAATATTTAAAAATAGCATGGAATAGCGCGGAAGTCACTTTAGGTTATAATCGACGGCAGGCGATATGATATTATGCCATAGTTGTTCTTTGACAGCATAAGAATTTCAGTTTCACTTTTCAAAATTATACATAGTTAAATTTCCAGATTTAATGTCAATGATC